AAAGAGTCCATTCCTCCCACATAATACCTATGAATACACTAAATCTCCTCCTAAGCTATACAGTTGCAACTCCTCTGCTGAAGAGGCCTATATACAACTGTGGAGGTTGGTGGTTATAACACCCATAGGATCATAGAAAATTAGGGTTGGAAGGGACCTTAGGAGGTCATCTAGTCCAATCCCCTGCTCAAAGCAGGACCAGCCCCAACTAGATCATCCCAGCCAGGGCTTTGTCAAGCCGAGCCTTAAAAACCGTCAAGGATGGAGATTCTAGGCAACTTGTTCTAGTGCTTCACCACCTTCCTAGTGAGAGTTTTTCCTAATATCCATCCTAAACTTCCCTTACTGCAACTTGGTTGCTATCAAATCCCCTCTGTCTTCTCTTCTCCAAACTAAATAAACCCGGTTCCCTCAGCCTCTCCTTAGAAGTCATGTGCCCTAGGCCCCAAACCATTTCCGTTGCTCTCCACTGTACTCTCTCCAACCCGTCCACATCGTTTCTATAGTGGGGGGCCCAAAACTGGACACAGGACTTGAGATGTGGCCTCACCAGTGCAAAATAATTACTTCCCTCGATGTGCTGGCACCCCTCCTACTAATGCAGCCCAGTATGCTGTTAGCCTTCTTGGCAACAAGGGCACACTGCTGACTCATCCACTTCTTGTCCACTATAACCCCCAGGTCCTTTTTCTGCAGAGCTGCTGCTTAGCCAGTCAGTCCCAGGGCTGTAGAGGTGCATGAGATTCTTCTGTCTTAAGTGCAAGACTTTGCACTTCCTTGTTGAACTTGATGAGATTTCTTTTAGCCCAATCCTCCAGTTTGTCTAGGTCACTCTGAATCCTAGCCCTACCTACACTCCAGTGTATCTACTACTCCCCCCAGCTTGGTGTCATCTGTGAACTTGCTGAGGGTGTACTCCATGTTCCAGATTGTTAATGAAGATATTGAACAATGCAGCCAGTGAATTTCTGCATCCCTCTTACTTGACTGAAATGGAAGTCATCTCTCTCAGAAACCTGACTACTTGCTGTTCTAGCAAAAATCAAGCTGTTGCCAGTAAACAGATTAGACCAAAAGAAAGCAGGCAGGAAAGCCTATCATCCTTTTTGTTAGCCTTTTAACTTCAGTATTTGAAGTGTAAGGTAACCAGCCAGCTGTTTTTTGGTTTCAGTGACACCACACCAGGATGCCACATTCCTGTACACAGAACCCCTGGGCAGGGTGCTGGGCCTCTGGATTGCTTTGGAGGATGCCACACAAGAGAATGGCTGCTTATGGTTCATCCCTGGTTCTCACACCGGTAGGATCTATGTTATCCTGTTGAATGTTCTGAGATGCATGTTCATATCCTTGTTGCAAATGAAATGAACCTAGATTGTAGTGTGTCCTCTGAGTCATAAAACATTTACATGCCTGCCCCCTAGCTAACAGCATACACCATCATACTTTAGAGGAATTTTGTCCAAAGTAAGATTATTCCAACTATGCTTTTGAGCTAAATCTATTTCTTAATTTCCTTTGGCTCATGTTTACTGGTTCAGGGGGTTGTGATTTTAATACAAAAAGCATTTCTGGAATAAAAATGTACCATTATTTCTGAGTCGGGTAGTAAAACTTATGCTATACCTCTACAATGTACCTAAAAGTACTGAGAGAGTGTTAACCACAAGCTGATGGAGTCTTTTACCTACAGGTTTTTGAATCCAGGTCTTGTAATACTGGGCTCCGCTGCAAACGCTCTTTAAATCCATCCACCTTAGCATTATTGCAATTACTTCCTTTTGCCAGATTCAAACCCTTCCTTGTCCAGCCTGCTGCTGCTTGTCCTCTCTCAAAGAGCTTCTTACCGCAGCCTTGAAAATGCTCCTGAAGCCTGACCTGGGATGGAAGGAACAGCTTCTCCATGTTGCTTCAGGTTTAGAGATACACACAGTAAAACCACTTGAACCATGTTGTTTCTTTTATAACGCCTTAATACTGTAGTATGTTAAAACATGTGTTAATCCTCCCCTTAATACAGACCATTCAGAGACCATACCAATTAATCCTTCCTGTTTTACCAAACCAAGAACATTGGTAATTCTTCAACTTGCTTTGTGTCAGAAGAGGAAATAAAAATAGCCTCCCCCAACACTGGTCTCAGATTCAATCATCAAACCTATGCAAAGATGACTTAGTATCTGAGCAATCACAGAATAGCTAGCAGCCCACAGGAACAGAGAACAAGCCAAATCATAATGAAAAGGCAAACATTCTCTCTTACCCGCTGAAAATTGCTGTAGATTTCTAAATTTGCATATATTTGGCATTTACTCTCTTCTTCATTTTTCTTGTGAGAGGATTCACTGTCTCCAGGGCTGCAATCTACCTTTCTAGATTCAAACATGAATGTCTAATAATTGTGGGTGTAGTCCCCTCAGCCCCTTTAAAGTCAAGACAGGTAGACATCCCTGAGAACTTTTTAATTCAATTGCATTTTGGTGTCGTTATACTTGGTGTATGAACACAGCAGCTGCAGATGAACTTTTGTGCCATTAGAGAGAAGAGGAATGGGCCGAAGGTTTTGCTTTAAGCATGTTTAGAGAGCACTGTGTATTTCTGCAGGGGACCAAGTGCTAAGACACAGTCCAGAAAGCAAACAAAACCAGATGCATCCACTTCTACAGTGGGGAAACTAACTCAGTGATTCTCGACCAGGGTGTTGTCATATTCTTAGAAGGGTGTCTTGCAGTGTGAGAAGATAAGCAGATAAGCTAAGTAGATAAATACAGGCTCAGCCTTGTCCTTGAGGAAATGGTCTTTTTCCTCCCTCCCCTCCCACTGCCCAGCTCCTCTACAAGGAAATAAGCACTGTAATAAATAAATCTGTTTTTGCAGCTGGGTGCCACCCAAATCAGATGTTATGAAGTAGTGCCTTGAGTCCAAAAAGATTGAGAACCACTGCTTTAACAGTGTATCCAATGGAAAGAAACCGCTTTGCGCAAAGTTGTTATTACATCATGAAAATGTCTATCCAACTATAAAGAGAGCCAACAAGTTACATATTTAGTACCTGAAAACATGTAACAACTTTGTAGCTGGTTTCTATCCAGCTTTAATTTGAATATGTGGCAGGGCCCTTCGTGACAGAGTGAAGGGTAACTGTAATGTAATACAGTGGTTTAAAGTTTCCAATGAGTACAAAGGCCACAACTGCAGAAGTTTGTTTATTCCCTGGTGAAATGCCTCTTTCCAACACATGATTTTGCCAATGTTGTGAATGACAGGTGGTGTCACACGGCGAATGGTACGAGCCCCACCAGGCTCTACACCATGTGTACAGTTCCTCGGTTCTGAGCAGCCTTATGAAGACAGCCAGTTTATTCCTGTGCCCATCGGCAAAGGTAAAGATTCAGCCATATGACCAAGGAAATTGCAAGAGAAAGAGAGATATAGTGACACAGTTTTAAGCTACAGACAGAGGGAATTCAATATGTTGCCAATGAAGACCTAAGAGGGTTGAGCCTACCCTGAAATGACTTACTCCCATAGAACCAAAGCAGTAGTACAATAAACTTCTAGTTTTCTCAAGCAAATCCTTCCTATAGGGATCCAAAAGCTAGATTACTAAGCCAGTAACAGTAAACCTTTCAAAGATGTCACCAACTCTTCCTGTATGGCACATACAGGGAGATATTCAAGAGAAAAAGAAACAAGTGTCTTCTTTCAAACAGGTGGACTGATTCTTATCCATGGAGAAGTTGTCCATAGGAGTGAGCTGAACAGCTCCAATTCATCCCGCCATGTATACACCTTTCATCTGATGGAGGCCAAGGACACCATCTGGAGTAGAGAGAACTGGTATAAAGAAAATCTCCAGTAATAAGTGGCTAGAGAAAATGGAAACTTTCTAGTACTGTAGCCATTCAAGAAGCATTTTTTAGCTAAAACCCCAGTGCTTAGCACCTCATGTATGTGTTGTGCCTTCTGCAGACACCCAGGCTTTTCTTGCATAACTCAGAAATGTTAGCTCCAATTTTCTTAAAAAGACTGGAGGTTTCTAGCAGTTTTCTGGGATGGTCTCCCTGGCCTATAAAGCCAAGGAGTTTTCCCTTGCTAGACATAAAATGCCACCATAAGGTGCTTTAGTCAAGGAGCAGCAGAGTGCCTTGTAGCCATTAAACAAACTTGTATCATCCCTCCAGGGAAAATAAGTGTTATCTCCATTTTGACTTTGGAATTCTCTGCTGTCACAAATAGGATTGGCTTCATTCCAGCCATCTAATAATGAGGATATACATCATCTATAAAATCTATGTATTTAAAAGTCTTAAGTGGTGATGGTAGTGGAGCTAGGAACAGAACTCGGGTATTAGTCCTATGTTTCAATCACATTACTTGTTTCCCCTCTAAAATTATGCGCTTCACTACTTATGGGTGTGAAACATCCACTAGGAGTAGAATTAGACAAGAAGAAAATAATTCAGGGCATTGGGAAATATGTAATTACTTCTTAAGGAATACACTTGGAAATGCAAGACTGAAGTTTCTACAATATATTTTAAGTTTTCTTCTCATTAACAAGGAATTGGCTATATGAAATTGCTTCCAAGGTACCTTCCCTTCAGAATTATTAGTTTCTGTATCAGTGGTACTCAAGTTAGCACTGGTCCCACAGCAAGTTGCCCTGGGATGGACTCTGCAATTCTATTTTTCCTAATTTTTTTTCTCCTCTTGTTTCAGGCTCCAGCCAACTCCTGAGCTACCTTTTCCATCTCTTTACCTCTGAAGCTAAGGAGTATTGTTTTCCTGACTATGCCTTGACACTGCAAACAAAAGCATGCTGTGTTGATATCTACAGCTGGGAAACCTTAGATCTGTGTCACACAGGAGTCAAATAGTTAATTGGAAATAGTCCTATTTCTCTTAGATTACCTGTGCCTGTTCTCTTCAATTTTCCTTTGAGAAATGAGACAATGTTTGTTTGCCTCCTGTCCAGGAACGAGTTCAGCCTTTATGCACTTCAGGAGGATTTTCACCCAGGGCTGACTAATGCTGATATTATTCAGCACATGCTCTGTTATAGTGGGCACATCTACACATGCAGTAATGTGCCATAATCGGCACAACTATGCAGTAGCTCCAGCACACATCTTTCAGATGATGCTAATGCACAGTAGATTAATTCTACTGTCCATTGGCACAGCTTTCACTGTGATGTGCTAACGTGCAGTAGAATTAGTCTACTGTACTTCTAGTGTCTCATGTAGACATGTCCCTGCTAACTCTAAGAACAGTCATTTAAGCCCTTGTTGATGGGGAATATCTCCCTGGTCATGCGAACAGATCATTGCAAGACTACTTTACTTCAACTGAGACCTGCTGAGAGGCACTTTTTTTTAGGAGACATAAAGTCTCACCATTTTCCTTTTGTACAAGCCAAGCCAAGAGAATTTCAGTTTTACTTAGGCCACCTTCATCATGTTATTCACAGCCATCTGGTATAACAGGAATAGAAATTATAGGATATGGTTGTCTCCTAAAGAGAAAAAGCGTGGCTTACTTCAACACTAATATTTAAAAAAATCTTATGGTGACATGAGCAAGAGGGGAGCCTACAGGCCTTATTTTCTTTTCAAATCCTTAGTTTAAGTTGACCAAAAAGGTAAGATTTAATTTTTTCCTTCAGCATGTACATTTCCAAGAACAGAGCAATGTTGGGTGAGACAGGAATGTTGAAATCAAGTGTGGATTATCCAGGAAGATTACCTTTTTTTCCCCCCAAACAATACAAAACTTGTGACTAAGCATAATATAACCACAAGTTCTCCACCCTGTTTTCTCTGAAAAGGACAGTATACCAAACCACCTCAGCTTTTTAATTCAAAACATATAATGGCAGAGTTCCACAACAGTTATGCTATTAAAATTTTAATGGGCAGGATAAATACTAGCAAAGAGCTTATTGCAACAATTATTGAACTTTCTAGGATACATCAGTAAAGCAGTTTTTGTAACTGAATATTCTAAATAAGCCCATTTAAAACAATGGGACAGAGAATGTTTATGCTTAACCCTTCATTAGAACTACCACTGATCAGCTAAACTGCAATTTCTTTCAATAAATCTGATTACCAAATAAAGAGAGACAACACTTTTAATAGATTTAAGAATATATTTTTCTTGTAACAAATGAATGCAGAATGCAATTAATTATTCTTAATAAATACAGAGTGAATAGCTGCTCTTTGAAGGATCCAAACACAAGATTGGAAATATGTTGCATAAATCTTCACATTTGTGTTACATACCTGATGCCTCCAAAACAGCCAAGGCCCCAGGCTAGTTACAGGGACTTTCAAGTAATTTAGCTCAAAGTTATGCATCCCTTTGATAGGGCAGAATATACTATGCCTTCCCACCAGAGATCTCAAGGTGCTTTACAAACACTAAATAATGAATCTCCACAACACTCCAAAATGTGGCATCTTAAATACTAGGTGGGTAACTGAGGCAGAGTTATGGGGGTTGGGGGGGAAGCAAAGGGTCTCAGATCGTAGAGGTCATTTTCACACATGGGAGCACTTACCCTCAGGAAGAATCCCTTTAGCCTGAGTAAGTACACATTAACATAAGGATTAACCTGCATTAAGTGACCCAGGTCACACAGCAGAGTTGGGCACAAGTCCTGTTCCCATTCCCTAACCCCAAGATGACAATACTCCCACCCATCTAACATCCTTTGATGATTCACTATCAGGTTTATATATATATAAAACTGCATTGTTTATCCAGGAGAAAGTACAAGCAGCATGCAGACTAAGGAAGAAAAGGGCATTTGAAAGTGAATAAGACTAGTGTCAATACTTTAAGATTAAGTAAGTAGTAGGGACTTAAGAAAGCTGCATGCAATTACATATAAGAATAGGAGGAAAGGTTGAAAAGCAGTTGTATAGTTGATTAATAATTAGCCTCTAAGACTGAACTTTGTATTAACAGAAAATTGCAAGAACACATATTGTGGAGTAGTTTAATCATTCAACCTCAAGGGTTTTGTAACTAAAACTAATGCACAGTGCCCACCAACAGCCTCAGCGTTTAAGATTTAAGTCACGTGCAGAAGTAAATTTTAAACCTTTAAAATAAAACCAGACTTTTTGCTTGACAGAAATCAACATTTAAAGATGCAAATGCTTCTCACCACAAATACAGGCAGAGCAGTATTAGGAAAAGAGACAAATACCTATGATGTCTAAGGTACCACAGCTGGTGACCGCCATCTCTCTCAAACAAAATGTAAATGGGAGATGGATGAAAAAAAATCTTTTTTTTTTTTAATGCACTGGGTGTAACATCATAGAACAGACCTTTAGGCAGCTTCTAAGATGTCTTAAACATAGAATAATTTATTAACAGAATTAAAAACAGTTTCCCCAGCATTTGGACAGAGGCTCAATGAAAACAAGATCATCTGGATGGTTTTATGCTGCTGCATGAGGAATGCAACATAGGATCCAAAATATCTTATCTTTCCCAATTTTCTGTCAGATGCAAACAGGTTAGAAACGGACTTTTGTGAAGCAAGGCTGAAATTCTTCCAGCCACATCAGTGTTTTTAAGCATAACGCCTGCTTCTGTCACAGTCAATTGCAATGAACAACAAATAGCCAAGTTAAATTCTTGAGTTGATTTCTGGCAAGAATTTGTTCTAATCTGGGTATACTTTGCTAGATGGCCAAAACAGATTCTGTATGGCAATCAGAATTCCACAAATTCTGCACGGCAATTTTGAGTCACAAATTGTATTGACAGGACCCAGAATACCTAGCAAGGATAACAGTAGTCAAGTAGTTTTGCCCAAATTCACAAATAATTTTATTAGCAATTAGAGCTTCCTCTGCTGTTCTTATGTTTTAAGATGTTTGGATGGCAAGAAGATAGGGAAAAGCAGCTTTCAATTTTGTTGTTTGATTTTTCTGGCTAAAGTTGTACATTAAACCATCGCCCTGAACACAGCCTCTGGGATAAAACAGTTAATGCTTTTTTTTGGTTATGGGGGAAAGAAGCCTTTTTTTTTGTTTGTTTATTAGCATTAAAAAGTACCATTTTTCTTCTAAAACATGGTAGCTTGTCTTGCTTTTCAACAAGCCGCACCATTCAGTGCAATTTAAAGACCATGCTAGTGTATAAATAGCAAGAGTCCCACTCAGTCTCACAACTGGAAGACAGATTGATAAGAAGCACCACAAGTGGGATTTATGTTGCCACACAGGGCTGTGCTCTTGCACCATTCCTCTGTCCAGAGCTTAGTTTCCTTGGAGCAGTGCCTGACACCCTACTGCAATATTAGCCAAGACATATTTTTTGACTGTTCCTAAAAGCCTGGGACAAATTCTTTGTCATGTGTAATGAGAAGGCATTTCCTAGAAAGGGGAAGAGTAGTGAACACTGATGATTCTAAACCAGCCCAGCTCTAGCTTATTTCAGGGGCCAAAGCAATCCAATATTATGTTCTGGAGTATGATTCTGCAGCTCAGAATAATTAGAGCACTGTGTTGAAGCCAAGCTCCTTGCTAACATGGAGACACTTCTATGCTTAAGACTGCACCAGAGAATAGTGTAAGACTAAATGTCTTGGTTTTATGTTGCTCCCATGTTAATGGTTTTTCTTTATGGATCATTGTGCTCTAAGTTACGGGGATATAGGGAGACCAGAATCAAGCTCAGTCTCAAATCTCCCCAGATAAGAATCTTTGCAAGAAAATACCTTGCTCAGACTTTCTCCCAGAGGGTGGAATACAAATTAACTTTTTTGCTCCTAATGGATGTTTTGCTTGTTAATAAGAAGATTCCCATAAGTAAAAACATGTCAAAGGATTAAATGTACAGAAACAAGAAGGGTGGTTTTACCATAAAAGGGATATTTTTAATTATTCAGAATTATGATTCTAATTAAAAAGGGACCAAAGCAGATGGCTTTGCTCCAAAATTTAATTTTAATAATTGATTTCAATTTGTTTTTAAATGAAAGCAGTCTGTTTGAATTTAAATATTCCCTTAGTGACTGGCAAACTAAACACTACAGCACTGTGCAAGTGTGTGAGCGCCAGGAAGTGACTGAGCGTAAACAACCAGGAAACAGATTTCATAAATCTTAGTTTAAACAACAAAATGCAGGAAGTAAGCAAACCTGGATGAATAGACAAATGTACAGTGGATTTCGAAGATATTTTTAGCTTCAATAATCTGTTACTAGTAAAATAGAAAAGGATTTGTCAATTAGTTGTAATGTAGTTTTTCTTTAAACTCTCTCTACAGATGTGTGAAATGGGCCTCTTTTCAAAGTAAATTCTTAAGTACTTTCAAGAGATCAAGATCATGAAAAAGGTAAAATGTGATTTATTTCAGAGACTATTGGCAAAGAAGTAAAAAAAAAAAAATTAACCTTGGAGGCTTGTGTAGTGAAAACAGTTGCTCATCTCATCCTAGCAAGTCAAGTTTGTATTATCAGTATCTGCAGTTACTTAATGCCTAACAAGCATTAGTGTTGTTTTCACAGCCATTGTCTAATTTTCCACACAGTGGGATGCTGTGGCACTCTCACCCCATACTGCAGAAAAGTATGCTTTAAGTGGTTCTTTTGTAAAAAAAAAATATAGGATTCACATACAATACACAAAACAGCAGGACTCAACTCAATGGCAAGTTGGCAAAGCGCAAACGCTTTGAAAAGAGACAACTCTGAGGCACTGCTTAGGTAACAAAACCAAATGTTTAGTGACTCCATCTTTTCCATTCTAGTGAATGTAGCGCTCTCTTTCCCACCCAGTTTGCTTTAGCATGCCCAGAAGAAGTCTGAAAATAAGCCCTTTGGGTGTATGCCACGTTTTTTGCCCATTCTTGTGCTGCAACGGCATGATTATTTGCATGAGCAGGTTTTCCGGACACTTTAAAAGTCTCTGGTGTATTAAAGTAAAACTCCTCAGATGTAGTCTAGTTTGGCTCGCTGCGAATTAAAGTGCTGTGTCTGAGTGCCTTTGTGTTTGCATGCAATGAAGCCACGAAGACATGTAATGAGCCTCTTTGTCCACCAGATGGTGCTGTGACTTTTTGTAGTTCACCCCTTTGAATTGCTGCTGCTGCTTTTATTTATTTTTTCCTTGTGCCATGTGCTGGCTCCCTGCTCCCACAGCTGCATGGCAGGGCATGAGGAGCAGTGTGGGACTGTCCTGCTCTCCTGAAGCACCAGCCAGGGACTGGACTTAATTAGTTTGAAAACCTAGTACGTGCAAACACTGATGCAACGCTCCAAAATAAACAAATAAGTTTATAAAATTTAAGCTTAATTTAATGAGGATTAAATCCCATGGCATGTACAGGTGCCCTTTGTGATTTAGTATCTAAATTGTCACCCACAATTTGAATCAGAGTATCAGGTAGATGGTTTCCTATTACTCGTATGGGAAGATGTAGCAACTGGTGCTGCTTTAGTTATTAAAAGTAAAAGGACCAACAGAAGCCTTTACCTTTATTGTTAATTGACATTAGAAGAGTTAATCCATTTCTGTCTTCAGCCATTTTATCTGCTGTACCAAATATAGTATTTTGTACCAGACTGCCTGTGTTGATCCCTTGACTGGGATGCGTATCCTGTTGCCATTCTTATTTGGAAAAAGGAAAGTGACTGTTCCTTGCCATCACTAAGCCATAAGCAGTATCTGGAGGTAGAGGGGCAAGAAGAGATTATCTATTTGGGTAGTGTAGGCTTCCAAAAGGGAAACTAAGCTGATAGAACCTAAAATCCAAGCATAGCTGGAGTTTAGATTCACATTGATGTCAAAGATCAGAATAAGAGCCACAGCAATGATCTGAGCAAAAATGGCAGTCATTGTCCCTTCAAATGTCTTCTTTGTTCCAGGCCATTTGATTTCTCCCATTGTACTGCCAAAAACTGAGGCTATGGTATCTCCCACCCCTACTGCCAGGACCCCTGAATAGGGAACCAATGCACCTGTCCCAGACAAGACACCTTTGTGAGCACAAGGTCTAGGGAACAACCACACGGGAAGGGACATCCCAAGAAGAAGGTAAATATGAGTTAAGATCAGAGGTCCACTATCACGTTCATCCAAAAAGAGAGAGAGCAAGTGCCTGAGCATTTGGCCAAATGGCTTGATCCTGAAGTACCGCACATACTCTAAAAAGATAAACACTGCCAAGCATAACACTGCAGCAACATAGAGAAGCTGAGGGTCATAAATTAGCCCAGGGACATAAGTAGCCACCACTATGAAATGAAAGCATTTTCTGATTACGGTTGGAGCTTGGTGCTTTTTAGATTCAGATGATCTCTTGGCATTCTGGTAGAGAACCACAGTGCACGCAGAGGCAGCCAACAAGGTCCAGTACCCGAGAAGGTAAACTCTTGTCTGCGTCTGAAACAGAAACTGGAGCAACCAAAACAAAGGATTCCTTCGGATGAGCCGGTAAAGCCAAGGCATGATGACCCCCAGGCCAAGCACTGCTGTCATCAAGTGGAAAAACATGGAAGAGGTCCAAGTTCCTGAATCCATGAAGAGGAAAAGAACAGTAAAGAAAATCCCCAGAAGGACCACACCAACCACTAACACCAGAAGGAAGAAGTCTATAGGATCTCCTCTGCCCTCTATCACATTTAATGAGCGCTTAATGAGCTGGTTGAGGATAAAACTTATGCCCCCAAGGACCAGTAATGCTTCCCCAGGAGAGAAGCAGCGGGGCAATAGGTACAACAGGATCATACTGAGGTAGACAAAAATAAGCAGCACTTCCAGGACCTCTACCACTTCAGAAACAGTCAAAGAATGTTTCATGGTGTAGATGATTAAGCTTCCAGCAACACCAGAAAGTATGCAAGTATTAGTTGGCACAGGTTTTGTGATGCCAACTGCTATTACAGATAGGAAGAGGGCTATCACCATGCCAGTGGAGGCCACAACTATGCCAAAACGTTCAAAATACACAATGCCAGACGTCTTGCATCTCTCTTTCATCACAATCCCCAACAGTGGAATGACCATGCTAGCTGGTAGAAGGCCGCTATTAGCTGTTGTCCGGAACTGGAAAACTGCTCCACCCAACTGGAGGAGACGGTCCCATTTAAACTGGACGTAAAAAGCCTGAATGGCAAGAGCAATAGCGCACCAGGAATACCGATCCCACACCACCATGTGCACACACAGCACAATGGTGAAAACAACCAGAGATTCTACAAGCACTGGCTTGAGTAACATGGTTCCAATCAGCTGTGTCCCGTGATGTTAAAATCGTTATAATTGTCTGATCCCAATGTTTTCAATACGGTCTTTGGTCCGTTCGTAGAAGTTCACTTTCATCCTACTGCAATTCCTATAAACATAAACAAAACAACAACATTAGAGACTATAAGAACACTCAGAGCTTCTACAAAAACAACCCATTTTCTTAAGCTTAGCTGCATGCTTCAACTCCTGTACAAGAAAAATAAAACCAAGAAGGAAATAAACTGGCATTTTCCATGGCATCTAAGAATCAGAAAAGTCCAAGTCAGCTTCCATTTCTAGTGCCAAATCTCACAACGCTTTTATTCACATGCAAATACTAAAAACTCTAGTTGGTATGTCACATTTTTCTTTCCGCTACTGAGAGTAGGGAGGTGAGCACTGCATTCTGCAAGGAGTGTGCACAAATACAAGCAGCAATACTCAAAAGAATTACACTGGTAAATGCATTTAGCTACTTCAGTAGCTTATAACTTAAATACAAAAAATATCCCCCTTAAGTCACAAGTTTGTTGTAAATGTAAATGACATTATATAACCTAAAACACATGCACGCGCGCGCACACACACTGTGAACTATGCAAATTAAACAATTATGGATATAATTATTGGTAAGATTTTGGTATTAATAGAGATGAATAATGCTATTCCAATCATCAGCAATATTTAGTTGTTTAAAATATACCAACAAAAACAGAGCACATACTAACTGGTATGTAAAATGAACACAAATCATAAATAAAATAAACCAGAACAGGTAAATCAGATATTGATATTCAACCTGCAAAGTCAGTTTAAAAAATGTAAATGTTCTATGGGCCCTACCCTTGTTCCCAATTCCTTCCTTCCAATTTTTTGTGAATTTACAGTTGTATTTCCCTGTTTTTAAAAATATTTTTCTCTCTCCTCTTATTGTGTGAAAAGCAAAAAACAAACAGCAATGGGTATTGACAAAGCAAACACTGTAAACACAACAAAGATAAACTTCCTCACTGATACATTTCTAATTATGGTAAGCCTAATTTTAGTAAATAAAAGTCTCACCTATGTATGAATTAAATTTATAGTGTCTCTTTGTAAGGAAACAGTTTTCCTGCCTTTTAATACAAGTGTCTTCTCTCCCTTAAGTAATAATCATGCTTTAGAAATATTAACTAATAACTTGAAAATTTGATCCATGCTGACATTTTGACTGAATAAGAGTTAGCAACAGATTCAACACAAATTAAGAACATCTAAAATCTGGATGGAAAACTATAATCTGTGATGCAACAAAATAAATATCCCAGAGTATTCTGTGAACTCCCAGTCATCTTAATATGCATTTTAAGCTTATCCCTACCATGTAGTTGGTCCAATAAGATATCACCCAGAGAAGTCCTTGCCACTCTGTCTTCTACAGCTTACCTTAACTTGACAATTTCATTGGTAAGGAGGTAAAATCTTTCACATCCTCTCCAGAATTTATTATTCCCTCTTACATATTACATACTTTATCAGTGGTACCTCACTCTATTTAAACTAAGGAAAAAATATCTTGTAATAACATTCTTAAAGGTTACTCAAATAATTGATGTTTAGGGTCTAGATAGTTTTCTCATTGGCTGGAAACTTTGTACTGCAAATGTAATAATTTTAGTTCTAATTTTCATTAGGGTTCTTTTGATATCTATACCCATAGGATTTGAAATACAAAATTATTTTAAGCGATCAATTCATATTTGTGCTGCTATAAAGCTAGGCCAAGATCCATGTATTTCCCCCTGTTCAACAACTCATTCATCAGTTTTGAAGTCATACAGGAAAAAAGTTTTATATAGTCAAAAAAGGTTAAAAAAAATTCATGCCAATTTTACCCCCCTCTGCTCAATACTAGCTTTGAGCAGGCCATTTCTAGATTTGTATAAGGAGTGAGGACCTCTCCAAGAGGGGCAAAGTGTACCTCACATACTAACTAGGGAGGAGATATACAACAGAGGAATATGGCTGATTGTAAGTTCCAGCTCAGCTCCAATGCAACAGTGACACTTAGCAGCTTCACTTCAAGAAGCCTGTTCAAAAAGCCCCATAGGGATACACTTGGATGTCAAATGCTGATTTATAAGCATCTTCAAGTGCAACCCAGACAGTGTAATTTGGAAACCTAGGGCGGGGGGGAAGAAATACGGCCCACAGAGGGGCTTTGCCCAGCCCACAGCGGGTCCCTCAATCCTGCCTGGCCCAGGTGCCATCTGGCCTGTGGCATGTCCTGCCACTCCCAGGCACGCAGCAGGGCTGGGGCAGTTCTGTGGCTGGGCTCCATTTCTAGGCAGCCCAGGTGGCAGCAGATGCCCTCAGCCCCATGGAGTCTGGTGGGGACCTGCACACACAACCCCAGCCAGCCATGCACCCACTGCAGACTCACCCAAGCTGGAGTGGACCAACTCCAGACCAGCTGGAACCTACATGCACGGCCCTGACCCCAGCCTGCTTTGGACTGCCTGCCCATGTTGAGCAGCGATGCCAGCGTTGGTGGTTGTGCAGAAGCTACCACTGGGTGCAGGGGAAAAGCGCCCATCTTCTTTCGCTGGCCACCTGGAGCCTGCACCTGGGCTATCCTGCGGCTCCTCTTCAATGCCCTGCTGGGCTGCCCAGAAGCAATACCGGTGGCAGTGGTGACAGTAGCAGAGAAAAGCCACAGGGCATGGAATCCAAGCGGTCGCAGCAAGAAAGGCCTGGCAGTGGCAAAGGGAGGTGGGGTGGCATATGACTGCTTTTCCCCTGCACCCAGCAGCAGTTTCTGCATGGCTGCCACTGCTGCTCATTGTGGCTGGGCAGTCCAGATCAGGTGTGGGGCAGGTAGTGGTTGGGGGTTTGCATGCGCTTCCCACCTGGTCTGGAGCTGGTCCACTCTAGCTGGGGTGAATCCGGAGCAGGTATGGGGCAAGCTGGGGCCAGGGCTGTAAACTCAGCTGCTGCTGGGTGCCGGTGGCAGGGAGGAGCTGGAAGGCATGTGGGTTCCAGGCTGTTGGGTTTTTGGGGGGGGAGGGGGGGTAGGGGGAGGGAAGGGTGCAGCTGCAGCTCTCCAAAGCTACCTATGTGGCCCGCGGGCCCAAAGAATTGCCCACTCCAACCTAGGGCATACTATAACTATATAACAAAAGACTTTATCATTCACTGATTTCGTTGCCTTGTTTTAGGAACAAGGGAATTGCAAAGGTTTCACCAAACACGACCTCTCCAAGCTCTATCATCTCACAATACTTCCACTTCCTCACATACAGAAGATGCCACACTATTCCTGCCCTCAACTATCTTTCCAGGGTCACTGCTCACTTTCTGAGCTGCTGCAAAATCACCCTCTCGTTGGCAGGGTCTCCTTGAGTTCATCTCCCAGTGGCCTCACCTCTGTGCTCACTCCATCTCTCAGGGGCCGCCGTTATTTCTCATTTAATCTCACCGCTGGTCTAGGCGTCTCTTTTTCAGCTCCTGACATCTCGAGCAGCCGTTCTTTGTCTCTGCACCTCGGCTCTCCAGCTCTTTTCCCGTCTCCACTGAAACAAAAGGCAGGATTTCTTCCTTATCTCCGCCGTTTAGCGTTTGTCTGTGCTCCTTCTACCTCCTTTCATTAACTCCCCCATTGACTTTTGGGGGAACAGCGGCGGCCCGGGCAGCCACTTTGGAGGCGACCCAGGGGGCAGGTGACAGGGGCAAGGACGCCCGAAGGAGCCGCCTCCGGGACTAAGCAGGGCCGCGGGGCGCCTCTTCGCTGCGACAACCAGCAATGCCACGGCCAGCGAAGAGCCCTGACGGAGGAGGGACTGGGGAGGGGAAAGGCGAACACCCGCCCTCCGCCAGCAGCGGCCTCGCTTCCCCCGCCCGCGAGCCGCTTCGTCTCCATGGCGCCGCCTCCCCGCAGCACCAGACTCGAGGACGCTCACCTCACAGGCCAGCGCCATCTTGCCGGCCGGGTCCGTCACGTGGCGAGCCCCCCCCCCGACAGACCGGGCGCGAGGCCCCGTCACGTGACGCGGGTGCCGGCCCGAGCGGCGGGTAACGGGTCACGTGAGAGGGGCGCGAAGATGGCGGCCGGCGGGCTGTGCGCGAGGTAGGAGCGCGCGCGGCGGTGGTGGGAGTTTCCCCCACCGGCAACGGCTCCTCCCGGGGGGTCGGGCTGGGCTCAAGGGACCCCCCCCCCAGCCGTCTGTTCCTGTCCAAACTCTCCTTGTTCTCCTGGAGCAGAGACCCGCCCCAACCCCCGGGTAAATCCCCTCTGGGCGCTAGGTGTCCCCCCAAGCAGGGGGCACCGGCGAGGTAGGGGGTGGCGCTGTGCCGCGCTGCCAGGCGTCTCCTACGCACCCACTCACTTTCTCCACCGCCCGGCTGGGGCTGGCCCCGTGGCTGCATCGCACCGGGCTGTGGTGCCGCCTGCGCCCGCAGGCCGGGCGGGGGGGAAATGTCCTGCCCTGCCCTGCTCCGCGTGCACCTGCATGAGGTGGCTGAATTCACCCCTTCGCTGCAGTCCGGGAAATGCAGGGTCTGGCGGTCTTCGACATAATCCACTTCTGAAGCTCGTTCCCTTGAGGAGCTCCTGAAAAAACAAGGGCGTCGTGGGAGCGAGGGGGAAAGCAGGCCCTGTGGGCTCCTAGGTCTTGTATAACTCCCTTGGATCCTGGCGTGGACCCCGGAGCATAAAAAATGGGTCCTTATCAAAGCGGTTCTTGTTCCTAGTGAGGGTGCAGAGGGGGCTTACTGGGCTGCTGAGGTAGAGCTCCCAGGAGCTGTTTCCATCAGCCTACATCAGATCTGTTTCCACGTGGGTTGGATCCCTGGGGGTCTACAGACTGTGTAAAGCAGGGGTGGGCAATTATTTTGGGTGGAGGGCTGCTTACTGGGTTTTGGCAAGCCATCGAGGGCCATATGACAGGCAGCCTGGGGCAGATAAATATTAATTTTCTAAATTTTGGGGGGCTCTGCAGGCTGGATAAATGGCCTGGTGGGCTGCATCTGGCCCGCGGGCTGCATTTTGCCCACCCCTGATGTAAGGGATCTGTGAAAGATGATTATGATCGATCAAAAGCCGGCAAATACACACACTTAAAAGTCCAAGCGGTCCGCACCTCCCTTTGACGTTTTATATGGGTCCGCAAATGAAAAAAGGTTGAAAACTGCCGCACTGAGGTTCATTGTGCATCTCCAGCAGTAAAAGGAGTGGTTAATCATTTTGGGGTGGGTAAACAGCAGCAATTTATCAAACCATTCAGACTTCAGCTCTGTTTGTAAGGACTTCTATTTGGCTTGGGGCTGAGGAGAGTTGGGCTGCACAGCTGCTTGGGGTGTGAGAGTGGAATATGATAGAGCCTAGCCCAGAGGGTCTTGATTGAGGTGTGAGTGGGAGCAACCTAATGGTACTACAGTAGTCACAAAACTTGATGTAAACTGGTTACAAGAGAAAGCAGGGCAGGATGACTACAAGAACAAACTCTTTCATCCCTGAATGAAAGAGTGGACATGTGCTTTGCGGGGTTATTTGACCTGAGCAAGCTTTCCTGCCCAGAGCAGGGAAGCTGGACCCAATGATCTCATCATGAGGTCCCTTACAACCCTAAACTTCGGTGAATCTGTGAATGATGCAAATGGGTACCCAGGCTGTAAACTTGCCTCTGTTTGCAGCCTTGCATTTGAAATGCTTGAAAAAGTAATTTATTTCATTTTATTTATTTTTAGCAGTGAGAGGAGGCACAGGGACCAGCAGTGAATTAGATATATTAGTGTTTTTGTCCATTTAGAATCTTAAGTGGAGAATATGTGCTAACAAAAATAGAGCAACTTTTTAACCAGTTTTGCTGTCAAATGGAAATCTCAGTTTACACACCACCAGAATGGGACCAAATAGTCCATTGTTCTGTAGAACACTGAGAACACGTTATAGAGAACTTTTCTGGTTCTGTTGCAAAAAAATTACATTCTGTGCACTGCACATTAAAGTCTGTTCTTAGAGCTTTAATCTCCAGAAGTGAGCCATAAACCTTGAAGACAGAGATCAGATTTTCAAGTCAAATGTGTAGTCTCATGATGAAATTGATATTTGAGGAGCTGATATACACTTCAAGCCTTTGGATATCTTTACTGTTCTTTTGATCTTGCTTGTAACATGTCAAAACTCATTGACTTTAAGCAACTATTTTTTCAGTATATTAATTAATTACATGGATAATAATGCCCAAGGCACCACCTGGGATAGGAGCACTATTGTGCATTATAAATGCTTCATAAGATAAATTTCCTTTCCCAATAGCATCTTTCCCAAGAAGCATCTTTAAGTGAATTGGAAGGAGTTGAAGGCCCATTTTAATCCTGGAAAAGTTCTGAATGAAATGAAAATGGGGTGGAATTGATTCAGCCATATTGCTGTTCTGCATTACAGAGGGAGTATCTCCTTGGGCGAATTCTGTAGTCTTGGTGCTCTGCACGGGGCAGAGGGGTGGCACACATTTTATCGCTAATTGGAATAGGACAGGTTCTTCTGCTTTTATAGAATGAAGTATATCTAACTAGAAAGGAATCGGCAGCTAGAAACTACACCAATGAGTGCATTAGAAACCGTAACACTGGAAATTAATTATGTAGCATTGCTGTATTAAAAGACACTTAGGGATTTGAACTTTATAGTGATATTTTTTGTAGATTGCATTCTCAAAGTAAATAGTTTGCTTTTAGTTAGTGATGCTTTTCTTTGCATTTCTTGGTTCTTTTGATTACTTGTGAAGGAATTATGTTCAGGTATTTTGCTACTGCTCTACTATTTGAGAGGAAGTAGTAATTCTCAACCAGAGGAGAAAAAGATGTTTCTAGTCTGCCTCATTCTGGAGTAACTCGAGGGTAATTTAGTCAAAATAAGACACTTCCATCCTAAGTGTATCTTGATTGGCAGCAAGTCAGGCGGTGTGTATTTTAGCCATAATGTAGCTAACACAATGCTGTTGGTGGCTTTTGGTGTTTTCTTCAAGGTATAGACAGCTTCAGAGTTGCCATTTTCAGTGTCTAACTTATTCTAGATATTGTGAGAGTTTTGCCAATTAAGTTTTCTTGGATAAAAACTGTCATATGAAAAACATGTCACAAAGTTCTGTTTGTTCCTTTCTAGACGGCCAGCTTTTGCATGGTGATTTTGTACTGATTTTTATTTAAAACTTTATTTGGGTTATGCTTCCATCAGATCATTAGTTCCCCAAACTCCTAAAGGGGCTTCATTTTGGAAGATGCTGTTAATACAGCAATTTTAAATAGCTATATTTTATTCATATCAATCTAGAGTGGCTCTTCTTTCTTTCTGAGAAGTCCATAGTAGGATAAGGATTTGATCTCAAATACCTTCTGGCACAAACAAGCTTTTCTCATGAGGGCTTGGGAAATGGATAGAAACAAGTCTTACCTAAACTATGGTGGAGAGTCAGGACAATTCTTTGCCTTCAGGAAAACAAGGGCATGTTCTTACCTTGTGCTCAGTTTGTGTTCCATCCAAGGATGGAGGTATTCAGGTCATAACAACAAAGAAAGCTTAGTGAAAGGTCTCTGTATTTAGCTTGGTTTCCTTAAAGTTGCCATTGGTTAGGTTTGTGCGTGGTCCCTTACCACTTAGTCTGCTCTAAGTTAAAACCAACTTTAGAAAGTTATAGACTGACACTGTTTCAGGGTGTTGGTTGTAGCCGTGTTGGTCTAAGGACATAGGCAGTCAAGGTTCTTTGGGTAAATGTGATATCTTTTATTAGACCAACTAAATAGGTGGAAAAATAGTTTTTTGCAAGTTTTCAGGCACAAACACCCTTCTTCAGGCATAGTCACTCTCCCTATGCCTAAAGATGGGTGTTTGTGCCCAAAAGCTTGCAAAGAACAATTTTTCCAACTATTTAGTTGGTCTAACAAAATATATCCTATTTACCCAAAGAACCTTGCCTAGACTCGCATTAGCTGTTTAACAGTGTTTGATAGCAAAATAACACACTTTTTTCACTTTATTGACAGGAGTAGCAGAGAACTGTGGACCATTCTGCTGGGCAGATCGGCTTTGAGGGAGACGGTAAGTAGAGGCCATGCCAAGCAACTTTGCTTGTTAGGAACTTACTACAAGGTACAGTATGCTAGTTTTGTGTAAATGTTTGAATCCTAGTGAATTGTGTTTTGCTGCTCTGCCTCCTCCCTATCCCAAAAATATTCTTACAGTGAGATTGTTGTTCCTCTCTTTCCACTCCTTGTTTATTCTCTCTTGTTAGCTGCTGCACCAACCTCTACCTGAGAGGGTGTATGGGAAAAGGTGGTTCCCTTTCTGGAGCGGACACAAGTGCTGCTTTCCAGACTGGCTGGCCTGGGGTATTCAGGAGTGGAACAGCCGGCTTCCTTACCCTCTGGGATGGAGTCCATGCTTTCAGGAATGTGCCCAGAGGTTGGAAATCGAAGTCCATTTCTGATCCTAGACTGTTGTCTCCTCTTCCCCTTTCCCTTCCCACAGTTAGGCAAAGCAGCAAGCTGTTCTTATTCATATAACATACACCTTGAATCAAAGTCTGAATCATAGATACTCTTTATACTGATCCTGTGTCCTTTCTGTCTCTCTGTGGTGGTGGAATTACTTTGCTTAGTTTAAATTAAATAAATCTGATACTAGATGGTATATAGAGAGTTGTCTGATGGTATTGTTTTTTTTCTCTCTAGGCTCAGATTGCAGCAGAGTTGAACAAACATTGGCAGAGGCTACTAGAGGGGCTCTCATACTACAAGTCTCCCAGGTACAGTAATTGGCTGATACTAGCCTCTGGATAGCAAGCACCTAGATGTTCTAGAGATATTGGTCTGCAGAAAAGCCTGTTAATTTTTTCCCCCTTGGTGCAGCAAAAGTAGATTCTATGCCTTGTCTTCACGGTTGAGTTGAAGTTATATAGGACTCATTAGTCACATGGGCCAGATGTCAAGAAGGGATGCTTATATCCAAACAGCTTATTTTGACATGAAAGCGCACCTTGTATAAATAACATGGGGTCTTAACTTTTCCTGACTTATGTTAACTGTATTATTCTCCTTGTTCCCTGCTAAGCTACGCCGATCATGTGCAAGACTCCCGAGTACTCTTTTAAGCGACCTAGAAGTGAAGCTACAGTGTAGAGGAGTGATTTATCTTGATACTTCTTCATTCTAAAGGATATCCAGATACTCTCATTGAAAGAGACAGTGAGCGCATCTACACATGCTTTAACATGCTTTAGGAGTATAGGTTGTAACCATGTTGGTCTAAGGACATAGGCAGACAAGGTTCTTTGGGTGAATCTGATATCTTTTATTAGACCAACTTAAACAGTTGGAAAAACGTTTTTTTTTAAAAGCAAGCTTTTGGGTTTAAAAACTGTTCGTCAGGCTGAGGAAGTTTCAGCAGTTGGTGTGCGCTCTACCTGGATGGAATGAAAAGTAAAGAAGCCAGAGGCTGGGCTGGTATGCATACAAGATAGGCGGTGAAGATGTAAATTGAGGAGTCAGTGGGTGAGAGACAGGCTCGGCTGGGGAGAGAAGGGGGGTGAATAGTGGAGAGGTAGCTGGGGGGGTCAGATGTCAGGCAGGTTATAATGTGTCATAAATCCAATGTCTATATTTAGTCTGTGATTTTTAGTATCCAGGAGGTTGATGAAATTAAGTTCATAGGCTCGTCTCTGAGAAGAGTTTTGTAAGTTTCCTTTGAGGATTAGAACTGAGAGATTGGAGAGAGAGTGGTTTTCTTGTGAGAAATGTGCTCCCACAGGTAGTTAGTTGGGTATTCTTGTCTTTGATGGATTTCTGGTGCACGTTCATTTCTGGTGTGCGTTCATTTTGGTGCGCGGTTGTTGTTTGGTCTCTCCTACGTATTTTCCATCGGGGCAAAAGATATCAGATTCACCCAGAGAACCTTGTTTTAACATGCTTTATTTAGCTTTAGTTAAATCTAGTACCTCCATTGTGAGGTACTAGGAAAATGTGCATTATCCCATTGTGATGCATATTAATGAAAGAGCACGGTTTTTAAGTGATGCTTAATGTGCTTTTGCTAGTTTAATGAACATTAAATATGGAGTGATGCTTTAATATGCATTAAAATAGGTTAATGCACATTAAGTGCACGTGTAGATGCATCCAGTGTGTTTTACACATGTGTTTTATAGCTGTAAATGAACTTTGTATTGTACAGTAGGTGAATTGTGTCAAACAGAGTCTTTCACTGAGGCGATCATAGTACATATTATAGATTTTAAAAAGTCAGTAAAATTACCAAAAGTTTGTCAATACTTAAACTGACAAACATCAAGGATTTTGGAATTAAGCCTTTTCATTGCATCTTTTAATATAATGTTCTAAAAACATTTTTCCATTTTTAGTTCAAGTTCAGCAGAAAAAGTAAAAGCTGACAAAGATGTGGCTGCTCCATTAAAGGAACTGGGCTTAAGGGTCAGCAAGTTCTTGGTGAGTAGAGGTTCCACATAGCTTATTTGTTATTTCCACATTTCAGGTGTTGTCAGGGGACTTGATACTGTGCTTTCTAAAGCCAGTGCATTGCATCTTATCTCTGAGTAAAGTAACTAAGTTGTAATTCTTTCTAATTTATCTCCTGTTGTAAGGACAAAGACTTACTTTTGTACTTCTCTGTGGTAATGCTTCCACATAGGACCTTTCCTTAGTTCTCAGATGGACATGTATTTTTTGTACATGGTGTGTTTTTCAGGTGGAAGTAATTTCTTATTGGTATTTGTTTAAAACAACTTGAGTTCTGCTTTCTGAAGCTCAATTTAGTTTAATAAGACTTTTTAATATTCAGTAGAGATTGAAAAGAGTGTAAGAATCAAGCTCAGTTGTGCAAAAACAGGTTATGCAGAGGCAGCAGACCAACGTTTTCAAAAATGGTCAGTGACTTCTGGGTGCTTTGAATCTTGGTGTCCGCATGGAGACAGCCTATAAAGGGTCTGTTTTTTCGTAAGTATTGATCCCTCTTAAAAAGGGGGTCATTTAAGGCATCTGAAACTGGGCAACTAAAAATTTAGGTACTCCAAAATCATTTGTCATGTTTAAAAAACTTAGGTAATTGCCTGTGGAATTGGATTCCTTTTAATCAAAAGCTAGAACCAGGTGACCAGGCAAGGATGGTACCTTTGTTTATATGATCCATTGTGCTGGTGCTGTAGTTGAACAAGCTACATTTAAATAATTTCACAGTTTATATTCTGCTTTCCTTTAAAAACAATTACATGTTTTGGAACTATTTAATCCAAAGAGACAAAGCTGCCTGAAAGTTTTGAGACTTGGCACCTTTTGATGAGCTCAGCTGCCTTGGTTTATTCTTTACCACCATTGAGCATCCCTTGCTGTTGTTTCAGGGTCTGGATGAAGAACAGAGTGTACAGTTGCTACAGTGTTATCTTCAGGAAGATTACAGGGGCACCAGGGATTCACTGAAGGTCTGTAGTCCATGTCTTGATCATTTTGCTCTCTTCTTCCCTCAAGGCAGGTAGTTCATTGACAAGCCTGGCAACGTATAATGCAAATACCATTGTAGCTTTTCTTCCATTACAGACAGGAAATACCTTTATTTCAGGTCTGGTTTTATTGTATATCCTTCTGTCTGGTTTGAGCTGGTTAAGGGCATTCTTTTGAATTCTTAGCCCCAGGAATATACTGCAGTGACAGGTGTCTAAGAGAGGGGATTTGCTAAAAGGGGCAAGGCTGTGCTTTGCAAGTGAAATCTATGATCTGTACTTCTGATACCTAACCTCTCACAAGAAGTGGTGTCTAAATTCCTCTTGTTACTTTCAGTGTGATACTTTCTGGTTGAATAGTGTGTATGAAAAGTGCAGAATAGTCACTTTGTCATTGTCTTGTGATTTGCTTGCAGACTGTTCTGCAGGATGAAAGACAGAGTCAGGCTCTGATGCTGAAGGTCAGTAGTTTTCCTTATTCTTTTGTTTTTGGAAGAATATGTTAGCAGTGAACTAACTGTACTGTTCAGGAAAGGTTGGAATGACTGAAGTGCTCCTGCAGTTTAAACTGCAAGTCTGGGAGGATTTTTTGATTAAATGAGGGGATGAATATACACAAAAAAAGCTTCAACAGTTACTGTAGAGGGGGACTTTCTGGGTGTTCTGATGACAATAAGTCCATGCAAGCACTTCTAAGGTGTCCATTAATCCAAAGAGATGACTTTGGAAGACTGAAACAGATCAGTGGGGCTAAGCCGAATGGCAGTTAATCTCTCCTTCCCTTACTTTGCTGCCTTCCTTCATTTGTCAGATAGCAATGGGATTATGGAACCATTATAACAGGCAAAAGGAGTGTGCGTGCTTGTGTGTAAGAAAAAGTTTAAAATATTTTTTTCAGGTGACTTAAAAATTGTTTGGTAACACCATGCCTATTCATTGATGCTTGTTTTTGCATATTGTCTTTGGAGTTTGGTTGGAGACGATGATGAGGTACTGGAGGAGAGAAGAGAGTTAGATAGCAGTAGATGATCCTAATGACTTGTGTCTTTACAGCTGGCTGACTATTACTATGAAGAAAGGGTCTGCATTCTGTGCTGTGTCCTCCACCTCCTTACTTATTTTCAGGATGAGAGGCACCCTTACATGGTACATACTTGAACCTTTTCCCAAATCAAATCTCAGTGCTATATTCAGTATATACAAGGGATGCATTGTTTGCCCATGTGTGTATTTAAACAGTATATGTGCATACGTGTGAAATGTCTGTTTTTTCTTTAAGGCACAATACTCCCAGTGTGTTGAAAAGCTGGAAAAGGAACTGGTTCCTAATTATAGGAAACAGTTTGAAGAGCTGTACAAAGCAGAAGCTCCTACTTGGGAAACGCATGGAAATCTCATGGTATTTTGTTTCTTCCATTTTCTTTATCAAAGCTATATTTTGTTTGCTCACTGCATGGTCAGTTAATCGGGAAAGTGTGTGTGTGTGTACATGCAGTTAATAAGGACATTTCTAGCATTCTCACAAGCCACAGGAAATACTTTCCTTTGGTATTACTCTGGTCATATTTTCATTTAGGAGCTAAGGAATGAGCTAGAAAACTGAATTCTGATCTCTAGTAGCAAAAGAGTTCAGCTATCAGCAGAGCACCAGCTCCTGTCTATTCTGCGGTTGTGACTGTTTGTAACATGTATTTTAATTTTTAAATAAAACCCACAGAATTAATTAAACTGAACCATTTAGCATTCTGGCAACTTTGGACAATGTTTCCTGGGCTAGGGATAGGTGTTTCTCCCCTGTCTTCAACTCTGTGGGCTTCATAAGAGTCTCTGGAACCCAATGATATTTATCTTTACTTAATTCCTGCATGTTGGGATTTGCCAGCCACAATTGAGGAGGTGATTTTTACCAGATTTTTGGAGTTCATGTCAGAAGAGATTCTAGCACCATTAGTGTTAAATCACTGACTTAAAGATGCTGATGAATTGCTTCTGATTCTCTTGTTTTTTTGTTGCATTGGTCTGCTTGCTTCAGCTGTAACATTAAGGCTCTTCTCCTTGTACAGACAGAGCGCCAGGTATCCCGCTGGTTTGTGCAGTGCCTCCGTGAGCAATCCATGCTTTTGGAAGTCATCTTTCTTTACTATGCTTACTTTGAAATGGCGCCTGATGAACTGTTGGCATTTGCCAGGATGTTCAGAGATCAGGGATTTGGCTCTAGACAGACCAATAGGCACTTGGTAGATGAAAGCATGGATCATCTGGTGGATCGTATTGGGTAAGTATTTTGACTGTGTTCAGTTAGTAAGGAATTAACTGATTATTTTCTTCATTAGAGGAAATATTTGTGTCTTGCTGGTGTTCTCCAAAATCATCATTTCTATAAACAGCATTTCAAACTGGTGATAAGGATAAAAAAATCACTTCTGGTTAGGCTGAGGGTATTTTTTGCAAGATACAGGTGTGATTTTAACCTGGGTAAGCATATATGTACTAACTTTAGTCTAGCTGACATGGGTATTTGTAGCAATGGGGACACGATATCATTGGCTTCTCGGCATAGGGCAGCAGCAACTGGAATACGTACCCAGGATCATTGAAAGGCTTGTACTGCTAGTCTTTGCTGAAGGCAGTGCTGTCTTATCCTCACTGCCATTTTTAACTGTGCTGGCTAGACTGAAGCTGGTGTAGGTTTACCTGCATGTGCTGCCATCACACCTTTACTTTCTGTGCAGCCCCATCCATTGTCTTTGTTTCTGGCATGAAACAGTTGATGTGACTTAACATTTCAGAGATTTTTATAGAAAGAAAGGCCATCACCAAATAATTCTAATTTTCCTGTTTGTAACTATCTAACTAGCAGTAGATAAGTTTGAAGACTTAACTCAATGTTTATTGACATATCATGATCCAAGAACATGGGTTTGTCAGATTAGCTGTTCTTACCTTTCACTTTGTTTTTTCTTCCCTTTAGAGATTGTTGAGCAAATGTAAAGCTGATAAACTATTTGTTCTTATTCCTTTACTTCCCCCATTTTTGCTGAATTTTTAAACAAAGCTTCAATTTTTTTTTCTTCTGGGTCAAGCTACTTCAGTGCTCTTATTCTTGTGGAGGGCATGGAAATTGACTCCCTGCATGAACGTGCTTTGGATGATAGAACAGAAGAACATAAGTTAGCCAATAATGGGCATGTTCACCAGGTAAGCCTTTAGAAAGTCTCATGCCATTTGGTATTCCCTTGTAATTAGAAAACACTGTAATTGCCCAAAGTCAGGCTGTTGGAACTGTGGAGAGGACTCGTCTGTGAAATGTGTTCCCTGGGCTTGCATAATGACTATCAGAGCTAACTTCTTCATTATGCCAGGGGCAAGTAAGAAAAACATGAAATTACTCCCTTCTCTTATTTATCTGCTGTGGCTCACCTTTGAGATTCTTTTGGAATGCTTTATGAAAATATGGAGATGAAGAGCAAACAGGCTTAATGTGAACTTGTTAAAATGGGTAGAAACTAAGTATCTGTTCTGTGATATGATGTTCCAAGGATCTTTAAAATAGAGAATAATTGCAGGCTAGAAAATGTAGTGGGTCCGGTCAGTTAAAGAAGAAATCCTGGTGCTGCTGATTCTGTGACTGATCTTTTCAGGCCAGCATTGTACTTATCTTTGAGTTTTAAGTTTGTTAGTTTCACTAAAATGCTTGTGACAACATAACAAACTTTGAGTTCAAGAAGGGGCTGTCTGATATTTTCATTAGAGATGCATTGTCCTTTATTTGTGTAGCAACTTCACCTCCTTCCCCAAAATGTGAACCAGCATAATGGAAGAAAGAAACATGCTATGCTGTTTCTTGCTGAAAGCATGCAGTGGGGCCAGTTCAGTAGATCTTTTATTGAAGATGGTTATCAGCATAAAAAGTAGGGGTGTGCACTGGTAAAGTTTCTTTTTTGGCTGATACTGATGGCTGATTATTAAACAGCCATATTGTCTGATACCGATCCAATAGCCGATATGCAGCCTGGCAGCTTGGAGAGAAGCATCCGGCCAGTAAGTCTCTAGGGGCTTAAGGAGGGGGAGGGGGAGGGACATGTGAGAGGCAGATCGAGGCCTCCACGGTGAGGGAGGGAGTGGGGCCAGGGCAGGGACAGGTGCTGCCCAGCTGGGGCGAAGCTTCAGATGGCTCATCCCGGGGGGAGAGGAGAAGGCGGCTCCCACTACAGCACACATCCCTGGGGGAGGTATGAGGGGCATGTGCCCCCTTGATTTGCACATGGGGTGAGGGCGGGCTGCCCACTGTGGGCTTAGGGCCAGGGGCTATGCTGGCCTCTTCCTAGCAGGGGGGAGGCTAGGCTGGGGTGGGGCGTGGGACTGGTGATGGTGGCACTGGAAGGGGGGCTGCAGGGAAATTTGGGGTGGCTGTAGCCCATGCCGTAGCCCCCCCGCCAGCCCACCCCCGAGCACAGCCCCGGCCCAGCTCCCCTGCTGGGAAGAGGTTGGCACAATCCTTGGCCCCAAGCCTGCAGTGGGCAGCCTACCCTCACCCCAAGCACAAATCTAGGGGTGCATGCTTCCCCTGGGGGTGCATGCAGCAGTGGGGAGCCCCCCCCTCTCCTTGCTCCCCTGTGTCCCCTGAATGAGTTGCCTGCAGCTCCGTTCTGTGCCCCACCTCAGCTGGGCAGCGCCTACCTCTGCCTCAGCCACACTCCCTTCCTTGCCATGGGTGCTTTGAGCTGCTTCCCAGGCCCCTTTCCTCCTCCTGCCCCTTCCCCTCCACAGACTTACTGGCCAGACACTGCTCTCCAAGCTGCTGGGCTGCATTCCTGGCCACATGCATGCTGTGGCTGTGGACTTGCATGCGGCATTTATCGGTGACATTATCGGCTACACTGGCCAAAAAAAAGCTGATTGCCGATAATGTCAATTTTCCTTTTATTGGTGCCGATCCGATATGGACCGATATATCAATGCATCTCTAATAAAAAGGTGACTTTGAACTAATCCTCTGTCAACCTAATGCTTGCTGGGCTAGGGCTTCTTTCAGACTGTATTGACTGTTTTGCTTGTATCCTTTCTTCTAAGCAGGAAATGGACCGTCTACTGCTGACATTAGGGGATGTTTCGCATAATGCCCCTGTTCTCTTGGCCTGGGCTTTGCTTCGCCATACAATAAGCCCAGAAGAGTCAACAAATGTAATCAGGCGAATGGGGAGTACCGCTATTCAGCTTAATGTGTTCCAGTATCTGACCAAACTTCTCCGATCGCTTAGCAGTGGGGGGAAGAATGTGAGTTTTGTATGATTGTATTTGTACACTGTTCAGGGGGGAGAAAACTTTGTGTACTAGTCATATAAAGATATAAGACGATGCAGGTATTTTGGGCCAGTATTCCTGGAAGTCCAGGTTGCTGTAAGCAGAGTACTTAGCAAAATACTTGCTGGTAAATGAGAACAGATTTGTAGTCTTGAATTTTTTTTTCTTTGTAAATTGGAAATTACTATGAAAGTAATAGGAAGGATTTGTAAATTCAAAGGGTAAATAAAAATGAGTTCCATAAGTTCTGTTAGGAACTATATGTAACCAGAGCAAGTTGAGATTTGGCCAGTGGCTAGACAACCTGCTCAGTCAAATTTATTGGACATTTAATATCCTGTTTATTATATTATTTGATTTGATAATGAGCACCATATGCTGTATCTCTTTACTTAGATCACGGATTCCCAAACTGTGGTACACATACCTCTTGGGGTACCCAAGACATCTTCGGGGGGTACAAAGGAGAAATTGTGATGGCAAATTTAATTTTCATTATAATAATAATTGGCATTTAAGGGGTTAAAATATAAAATGTATGCTGGTTGAGGTACGGGGCAGCTAGTAAATCTGGAAGAGGGTATGCAATAAGAAAAAGTTTGGGAAGCTTTGGTTTAGATGATTTGCTTCCGTTACCTTTCTGCCCAGACTGTTTCACTAGATTGTTTGCTTCCATATTACACTATTTGAAACCTGGTATAATTTTCAGGTAGAAGCTGATGAGAGAAAATCCCTTCTATTTTTATTTGTTGAATGCTTCCCTTTATAGTCCTTTTGAAAAGCATTCTAAGGATAGTGGGGCTGGGGCTTCCACCTGCCAAAATAATTTGCTTTATGTAGCACTTCATAAATGACTGGCTCCAGATTCACTATTTTGCAATAGTTACGTCAGTTACATCCTGAATCTTGAAATTTCTTTCCTATTAAGCCTGCATTAAAAGAGCAGTTGCTCAAAACACAGATGCCCATAATGGGCTGAATACTCTGAATGCAGCTGCAACATAGTAGCAAATACTCTGGTAGTTGATATTGTTCATTCACTCACTGACCTATCTTTATGTTCCAGTGTACCGCCAGCACCGCTTGCATGTGTATTTATGGGTTGCTTTCCTTTGTCCTGACCTCACTGGAGTTACGTACACTAGGCAATCAGCAGGTCAGTGCCTGAAGTTTGTTGCATCTGTTATCATTTAATATAATCAAACATTCCCAACTGACTACCTAAGTTATGAGTGTAAATTCTCCTTTTGGGATGCCATGCAATACACTCTTCAGGTCAGGGGTGGGCAAATTGTGGCCATGGGCCAGATCCAGGTTGCCAAGGGGTTCTATCCAGCTTGTGGCAGACACCCCCCCAGCCACACCTGGCCCAGGCATGCGAGGCAGCTCTGGCAGTGGTGTGTGCGACCAGTCCTGCTGCCTGCGGTGTGGCAGCAGGCTGGGGGTGGCGCAGCCACTGGACTCGGCTTCCCAGTGGCCCCCACAGTGGCAGCTCACTCTTTCTGGCTGCCAGTGTCACTGCCGCTGCTGCCTGGGCACCCTGGCTTATCTGCCTCATACCAACCTCCTGGGGCGCTGAATGGAGTGGGTGGGTGGGGTCTCCATGGAGTCTCCACTCATGTCTGGGTTTCCTGCAGGCAAGGTGTGCTCGGCTAGGCAGACGGGATGGGACTGTGGGCAGGCGGGGAGCAGCATCCAGGAGTAAGACAGGCAGGTGGGTCCAGGACTGGGGCCAGGATCACATGGTAGTTACAGGGCAGGGTTGAGGCCTGAGACAGCTGCGATCTGCTCCCTGCATGTCCTTGCCCATGGAACCAGTGCTAATCGCAGAGATGTGCAGGGAACAGATTGCAACTCTGCCTTGGCCCCCAGCCCCATGCTGTCATGACTCTGTGATTCCGGACGCTGCTCCCCGTTTGCCCATAGCCTCATCCCATCTCACCCTGGCTGAGCGTGCCCTGCCCATGGGGGTCCCAGGCTGGTCTCCATGGAAACCCTGCCCACCAGGTCTGTCCAGCGCCCCTGGTGGTGGGTGTGGTGGGGGGACAGGCCTGGGGCTGGGTAGGATCAATTGCTGCACTACCCAGTCCCAGCCACGACAGTTCACCCAAACTCCTTAAGTGGCTCTCCAGCCCAAATAATTGCCCACCCCGGCTTAGATAATTCTGGTTTACTGTGTTGCCTCCCCAGCTGGGTGGTGCAAGTTTCATTGTTCTCACAGGTCTGGTGAGCAGTATTGAAAAGTGCAGAATAATACTTCTTACATTTAGTTTTCTTAATGCTTTGAAACAGAATGGTGGAATGTTGATCCCAAAAACATGGGATAATGTATCCTGTAATAACACAGGTTACCTAGCTTGGGGAAGACAGCACGTGGTCCATGAAATTTGTAGCGGGTTTATTCTGTCCTTACCCAATCACCTCATTGATAGTGAACATGATTTTTAAGAGAGTTTGGGTGTATTCTGGGTTAGGATAGATTTGTATATTTTTCCTCTTGACTATGCAGCTGCAGTATAGTGGGTAAGTATTGAACGTAAGCTATTTAGAAACTGTTTATATGAAATAACCTTATTTTCTCCTTTCCTTCTTTCTTTGAAGGATATAATTGATGCTGCATGTGAAGTTCTAGCAGCTTCCAGCATTCCCCAGCTCTTCTGGAGGACAGTGAGTATGCTTGAGGTTTCTTTTGGGAAAGAAACGGGTTGCCTGTGTACATTCACCTTAGTAACTAGTTTCTAGAAAGGATAGTATAGCTACTTCCAATTTATCTCTCTCTGTGGTTTACCTTTAACTCTCCCTCCTCCAGACTTTCTAGAAGACAGTCTTAGCTGCACTGTAGGAGGGTGGTCACAAAGCAAGCTTAATGTATATTAAGGAAAGGCTGGGATTGTGAAGATGAATAGTTTCCTTCTGACTGGAACTCTTGCATTAGAATTAAGTGCTAGAATCAAATGCTATGTTGTTTTTGATCTTGATGCATAGTGGTGTTGGAGGAGAACAAGCTATTCTTTCCTTAGCAAGGTAATCTGTCTTCATTAGAATTCAGTTAACCCAAACATGTTTGTTCTACTTTTGTATGTTATATTTTGCATGCAGTCTTTCACCCAAGTTGTATCAACGCCAGTTGCTCATCAGAGTAAAACCAGGTGCTGAAACGAGGCTTTGGACATGATTAATGTCATGTGCATGTTCATTAGAGAGGAAATTAATGATCACTTGAACCATTTGCTTAATGTATACTAGTGTGGGGCAGGAAGTATTGGAATATAAGCATCTTGCATCACCTCCTAATTCTGATCAGATGTGTTCTGAATGACACTTTGGCTAATCTGAGAAGGTAAACTTTCTGTGAAGTGGGGATAAATGTTACAAATAGATGACTGTGGGGCTTCTTCAGACCTTCGAATACTAGGATTTGCAGATGAAATGTAAATACTCCAAATTCAGGAGCCAGAGTAAACTGCTTTCTTCTATTGACTTAGAAAATGTTTCTTGCTCTTTTTCTTTGTAACTGACCTTGTAATACCTTTTTATAAAGGAAAATTTCTTTATTGTTTTTACCTCCAGGAGCCAACTGCAGGTCTTGGCATTATCCTGGACAGTGTGTGTGGGATGTTCCCCCATCATCTCTCTCCTCTCCTTCAGCTACTCCAAGCCCTTGTGTCAGATAAATCTACTGCAAAAAAGGTATGGAATCTGTTCTGGAGTCTAGAAGCTGCTTTATTCTTAGACAGAGAAGCCACACATCCCACACTTTATGTTCTGAGCAATAGCTATGAAACATTTGGCCAGGGAGATATGTACAGGACTCCCTTCAAAGTCTGCTAGAAGGATTACTGTTACAGGTTATAAGGGACACATGCTTTTTGAGACTGATTTTTTTGCCACCATAGTGCAGATAGTCTAGAGTTCAAGTGACTAAGAACTCAAGTCTCTCGTATGCATTATAGAGTAATATTACCTGGCCCCCAAATGTTTGGTGCACCAGATGTGAAAGACTGAGGGCATGTCTATATCACTAAATTGCCAGTAGCAATATGCTGAAACATGCTATCCTTGTCTTCTGAACCAGAAGGGATAGGCTCTGCCAAGAGGTAGGCTATTGCCAATTCAGGAGGTAGCCTGCATACTGCAGTACGGCATGTTCTGGCATACCTGGTGCAGTTAGTGGTATAGACATACTCAGAAAGTTCTGCATGCGACTAACTTGCATGCTTTCTCTTTTTTTGATGTGGGATTCGAAGCCAGTAGTTTCAAATAAATCTGGTGATAATTAAGCAAATTTTACATTTCATTGCAATTCTAAGAGAGCTAGTTTCCCAGCACCTGGCTCTGACAACCATTGTTACAGTGCTGTTTGGTCAGGATATTATGTATCTGAATGCTGTACATGTGTTAGAACATTTGACTCATAATTGGTTCATTAGCTCAGATTCTAGTTGGAGAAAGGAATTCCATGGGGTAGTGTTCTTGTATTAGGCAAACTTTGTATATTGTGAGCAGATGCTGCATTTCAAGCAAACATCCATCCTTGGAAATGGCCTCATTAGATAGCTCCTTAGAAAGCTGTCATATTTGGGCTGTATGCTCTAGCTCTCTTTTTTCAGGTGTATAGCTTCCTGGATAAAATGTCCTTCTACATTGAGTTGTACAAGAACAAACCCCCTGATGTGATTTCACATGAAGATGGCACCCTTTGGCGAAAGCAGGCACCAAAGCTCCTCTATCCTCTGGGTAAGGAAATGGGTCAGGTGGATTCATCTTTGGAATGCTTCCATTAAACCAAGTAGCTTATAGGTTTTAGTCCTTAAAACGGGATAATGCAGATAAGATTCTCACCTCTTTTTTGGTTCACCTCTTGCCAATCCTTAGGGCTCGGTCAGACAAACTTGCGAATACCTCAGGGAACAGTGGGCCAAGTAATTCTGGAAGATCGGGGGTACCTTGTACGATGGGAATATTCCTACAGCAGCTGGACGTTGTTCACTTGTGAGATTGAGATGCTGCTCCACGTTGTATCAACTGCAGGTGAGGCAAGTTGGAAATTGTGGGAGCTGTTGAGAGAGAGAAGAATTTGGTGAGCCTAGTTAACATTGACATGAGGTGTGAAAAGCAAGAGTGGGCTTTGGGTACATGATTGTCTCTATGACTTCCACTGGGACAGCCCGGTACTGTCCTTTCCTCTCTTTTGTCATGATCCTCCATGAGGTGCTAGTTTTAACAATTTCCACCTGAGAAAGGAGTAAGGAGAACTGTAGAGACTGGAAGAGGAGGAAGAAGAGAAGAGAATGAGCAGTTAGATGCAACAGGAGTTGGAAGAACTTAGAACATTTGTCATATACCAGAGAGCCACTTCTTATTTAATCATGTTACTTCCATAAAAGGTATTAGGCAGTACCAAGACGATGTAAGGACACGGCCTAATATAAAATGAGAGAAATGCTAAGCCATGAGCTTGTCAAAGTAAAGACCCTACTTTTCAATGTTTTTTTGGTGGGGGAGGCTGTGGGAGGGGCACAATCCCAACACGATCAATTTCAATTATGAACACTGGAAAATAGAAACTTCCTTCGTTGGATATTTGGGGTAGATTGAGGAGTAGTTTATAGAAGGTAGATTCTCAGTTGTAGGGGTAGCATGGGAGTAGCATTAGATGATCCAAGGACTGTTTAGAGAGACTAGTGCTGCCTTCATTTCAGAATGTAATACTGTTTGTTTGTTTTTTATCTAGATGTGATTCAGCATTGCCAGAGGGTCAAGCCAGTCATTGACCTGGTACACAAAGTCATCAGCACTGATGTGTCAGTAGCCGACTGTCTTCTCCCAATCACATCGCGGATCTACATGTTGTTGCAAAGGTAAGTAGATGAATGGCAGTTAAGTCACAAGAAGCAGATCAATGGCAAATTTTGCCTAAGGCAGCACAGAATTCAGGAGATTCCATTTCCAAGTCTGTGCTCAGACCAAATAACTTTGCCTCTTCTTAGCTGTTGAGTGCTTTAATGTGGTGGTGGTATAGTATTATAATCTGAAGTGGATGCAATTTTATTAATAGAAAGCCATCTTATACTAATATAACTACACCTGCAGGGAAGGGGTGTAAATCCTTTTAGTATTAAGTGCCATTATCCTGATACTATTGTGCTTACATTGGGGATTGTATAATTCTAACTATTCTGATAGACAAATCACACTCCTTTCTTCTTGTACACCACTAAAAAATTAGGTGTAGGCCTAGCCAATTTGTTCTAGAAGTTTTATGTATGATATTGGTTATCTGTTTCTTAGGTTAACAACTGTGATTTCTCCCCCTGTGGATGTTATTGCATCCTGCGTCAACTGTTTGACTGTACTTGCTTCTCGGATGCCAGCCAAGGTAAGGGAATAAAAGTCTGACTTTCTTGAAAGTGAGGCATGTTGTGTGTACAAGAAAACATACCTGTACTTCTTTTTCACTTCAGGTTTGGACTGACCTTCACCATACAGGGTTCTTACCATTTGTTGCTAATCCAGTTTCCAGTATGAGTCGCATGATTAGGTAATCAATTTATTTTTTGTTTGTGCTTCCTATAGCACTTCACTTAAGGGGTCAGTGTTTTATGAGTGTTCAGTTCAAACTTCATAAAAACATCCAAGGTTCCATTTTTACATCATAAAATGGTATAAATTCACTTCTACCAGAAACTCCAAGGTTCTTTGATGTTAAATGCCAGTTAGAATGACTCTGGGAGGCTGTCTTAATTTTTTATCACTCAGAGTTTATACTAGAAGAAATAGGGGATTTCATCTTGATTGTGAGATCAAAATCTTTCAAAGAACCATAAAATATTGTGCTCTTGAACTCTATCTAGGGGGTTGGGTAGAGCAACAGCTATTGGAGCCCTCTTACCTCCCTTATCCCCTCTGAGCAGAAACTGCCATGTCTGGGTAACAACTGTAATCCACATCCCATTTCCTTTACACACAAACTCTGTTACCGTACCATTTACATGAATGAATTGCACAGAACTAAAATATCTGAGCTGCCTGGAAGGGAATGCTTTTGTCAGTAGAAAAAAATGTTTAGACAAACCCCACCCCGGTCATAAACATTGGAGGCAGAAGCTAGATTAATCAAATATTAAATAAAAGGTAGTCCTTAGGAAAAGCAAAGTAATATTTCTTAAGGGAAGGATGGATATTGATCCCAAGCAGTATGGGTTCACCCTTTTCATACTCAAGTTGCATCAATTAATGTAATTTTCATCTTTCCCCACCTGCATATCTCTGTGAGCACACCTCCATTATGCCTGGTGTCTGTTCTTCATACCAACACATCTCTCTTTTTCCACAGTGCTGAGGGAATGAATGCAGGAGGTTATGGCAACCTGTTGATGAGTATAGAACAGCCTCAGGGAGAGTACTGTGTCACCATCTCCTTTCTACACTTAATCACTACTCTTGTCCGTGTAAGTGCTTCTCCAGCGATTCTACAAGTAAAGTCATCCATAGGCTCCTGTTAGCTGGCAGTGCAGAAATAAGATAAAAAATAAAAGCACATACCAGAATGTATGAGGTTCTCCTGTGGGGTGGGAACACTCACCTTTTCATGCTGGAGAGCCTGCATTTGGGTAAGCCAAAGGGGAAAGCTTGAGCCTTTTCCAGAGGTACAACTGTGTGTACCTCCATAATGCATCTAAACTTCACTTGTTTTGAGTGTTAAAGAACAGAAATTGCTGAACAAACATCTGTCCGCTTAGTTTTTTGGACAGAATTCTTCCAGTCTCTATTTCCATCCTGGGAGTGTGAGGGAGTGAAAACACTCATATAAAAAAAATCATGCCTTTGGAACTAAGATGTAATGGTTTTGTCTCCTCTAGGGACAGCTTGGCAGCACACAGAGCCAAGGACTGATGCCCTGTATCGTGTTTGTATTGAAGGAGATGCTGCCAAACTACCACAAATGGCGCTATAACTCCCATGGAGTGAGAGAGCGAATTGGTAAGGATAGCTTTGCAAATGAAGCAGATCTGAATTCTTTCTTCAGAGAGAATGTCTTTTTTGCTGTTTTTAAAAAAAATTAAGGCATCTCAGTGAGTATTTAGATTTATGCTCTTTACTATAATATTGCACGTAGCTTTGCAACCTTTGGAAAATACTGCAAATTCCATAACTACTATTAGTGATGACTGAGTAGCTTGTTCTTGGGTTTCAGGGTGTCTGATCCTGCAGCTGATCCATGCTATTTTGAACCTGTGCCTTGAAATGGATCCTCATAGCAGGTAAGTGTACAGTGAATTTAAGACATTTTATATGTGCCAACTCTGATTGCAGGATAAAACACCTTTGTCATAGTCTTTTTGTTTCCATCTTGGAATGTGAATTAAGGAGAATCAATTGATATGATTATATTGTGTTTCTTAACAGCTCTGGTTTACCTTGCTTTAACCTGAACCCAGGGAAATGTGTGAAGGCTGGGGGAACGCTAAACAGTGCTGTTCTTCAAAGAGTCTGATAAAAGAAGGGAAATCAGTAGAGGGATCTTGGCTTAGTCTGCTCCTGATGTATATATTCCAGGGCAGCCTGTATTCTTTCTGGTAGTTGTGCCCATTCTGAGATTTCTACCAGGTGCACTGAATTAGAAGAAACTAGAGGTGATTGAGGGCACGGGAACTTGTAAAAGTTACTTTGGGTTAACTTACTTGGCGCTAAATTAATGGATAAGGCCATCTAAGGAGTTTCTAATGTGATCTTGTTTTGGGGTTGGTATTGACTATGATGCACCTTGGCGGGTGTATTGAATCTGGCAAATAACCTTTTCTATGATTGCTGTCTCATGGCTGTGTTCTTCTACCTTGCAGCAGTGCCCCCAGCCTTCAGTCTTTATGCATTTTCAGCCTGGCTAACACAGAAGCAGGGCAGGCTGTCATTAACATCATGGGCATTGGTGTGGACACCATTGATATGGTAATGGCTTCACAGTCCAGTAGGTAAGTCACCTGTTCCATTCTAGTGGCATGAAGAAAGAAGGAACAAATCAAATTTGAAGTGTGTGTGTAAATGATTTGATATTGCTGGGGGGACACATGTAGCAGCCAGTCACTGCAACCCTTCACTGATCAGCATTTTGGCGGAATTGCCAAGAACCCGCTAATGATTATGCACTTCTTTCTTTCCTGGTAGGTGTTACCCACAGTAGCTTTCTTGCTTCTGATAGTGCTTAATCTAACTGATAGATGTAGCATGTAAATGAGATGTGGGAATGCTTGATTCATGCTTGCTGGCATTAATACTTATACAAATAAATAATTTAAATTCACAATGTGAAAGGACCAACTAAATTAGAAGATGGGAACACTATAGCAAAAGTTATAATTTCTGTATCTTCAAATAACATCTCAGTTCAGTATGATCCATTAGTATGAATGGATTATTACAAAGCCTCGTGATTCCTTGAAGACTCAGGGTGAATTCTGGCCCCTTACTTGTGAACACTTCTCTGGTAGCTAAATTCCTTTATTGGTATGAAAGTAATTTTGTGTTGTGAAACCCAACAAGATCCTCTGTCCTTTGGGACTATTAGCACTTTTGACACTTTAAGTTTGCTGAGTAAAGAGGAGTCTTAAAATGCTATGGGATTAAGTAGAAATATTGAAATTAGGGTTATGCAGATCCTGAGGTCTTGTGCTACACAGCTGCAGCTGAGGATTTCAAAGGTTAATGTGGATCATAATAGAATGGGAGAGGGTGATTGATCTGTCCCCCTCTATTGGTGACGTTGTTGGACCTGTCCCCTCCTGCTTGAGATAGCATAAAATTTCACTGGTGAATACAGCAGTTTTTTGCATGGAAAAGTAGCATTAGGAAAGTACTAAGCATTGCAGCTGGCATGGTCTATAGGGTCAGTTTTGTAGCAGTATAATGCCTTCTTTAGCTCTGTCTTCCTTTTCCATCTGTTTCCCTGTATATATGTTTTGCTGCCTATTCTTCCTTTTCTTTGAATGTTTGGAAGTGTGGAAGAAAGCCAATATTGTGTGGCTTGCCATCTCTTCATGGACTGCTAGCAAATGCTTCCTGGGTCACCAGTGTTACCCAGACCTCAGTTTTGAAAAACCTTTCATTTCTCTCTTGACATCATTACATTTTAATATTTTACAGTAGCTATATAGTACAGATGGTGTTACCTTCACCATCTTTTTGATGCCTGTTGGTTATTGCCTCCTAGCCAAGTTGGGTTTAGCCCAGAGGTGCTGGGGTTGAGCATCCCTGGTATAGCCAAACTAGTTCCTTAAGAACATTGTAGTGTTTCTAGTGCAGGGGTAGGCAATGTTGTTTGGCCGGAGTGCCAAAATCCCCACAATGCCTACCTTGGAAGGTACCGGCATGCCAGAAAAACAAAATGAGGGCATGGAGTACATGGCAGGATGCCCTGCTTGTGCCCCTTGCCCCCCAGCCAAAGCTGGTGCCCCTTGCCCCCCAGCCCTGCTCATGACCCTTGCCCCCCATCCCTGTTGCCCCTTGCTCCCCACCCAAAGCCCCTGCCCCCCAGCCCGGGCTCTGTGGCTGTCAGCAGCTACCCAGAACCTGGGCCAGCTGCAAACATCTGCTGCCCCTCCGCCCCAGCTGCCTCCCAGACCCGGCTCCAGGGAGGCAGCACATACCAGCAGTGCCGGGAGCAGTGTGGGCAGCAGCGCAAGGTTGTGCCCCTTGCTGCTGCCCCTACCTGCAGGGGAAGTGTGGCAGGGAAGCAGGGAGCTGGGAGCAGGCAGCTTTCTGCACCCTGCACTGTGCCCTGCTGTACTGGGTTCCAACACTGCTTTGCAGAAGCAGCAAGGACAGCACAGTGGGGAGCACTGCTGGTATGTGCTGCCTCCCTGGGGCCGGATCTGGGAGGCAGCTGGGAGTGGGCCCAGGGCCGGGGCGGAGAAGCAGCAGATGTTTGCAGCTGGCCCAGGTTCTGGGTAGCTACTGATAGCCACAGAGCCTGGGCTTCTTGCAGCAGGGCTTGCAGTGTCCCAGCTGCCTGTTGGGAGCAGCCTGAGCTCCTGCCTGGCAGCAACTACCCAGAGCTGGGGCCGGCTGCAGCCTGGAGGCTGGAAACAGCTGCTGGCCTCCC